CAACTCAGGAGTTCCCCAAGGATCGGTCTTGTCTCAAGTATTGTTCCTCTCACATATCAACGACCTCCTTTCCTGTACGATCAATCCGATCCATAGCTTTGCTGATGACATGCAGAGACCCAGAGTGATAAGCCGATCTCTGACGATGAGCTAGAGAAAGGAAGACTAGCAGCGACTTCCTTTCTGACGAGAGACCTGGTTATCACTGCTTGAGGGCGCAACAATTTTATGCTTTCAAAACACAGCATCTTGACTAATAAGTATCGTCCGAGCGCTCATCCGAGGACTTTATCTGGCATGAACACATCTTGTTAATAGCGGTAGCTGCTGGGAAAAGGCTAGGCTATATTTGTTTAGGGCTAAGAAGTACTTTTCTCTACATGAACTCCCCACAAGGCGCAGATAAGGCCTAATTTCGAGTAGTACAATATCCATGCTCGATGATGTGCAGCAGAGTGCTGTCGTCACTGGATCGCTGACTCTTCTCTAATGGTCAGTCTCAAGACCCTCTCTCATCAATGGGCCGTCTAGCTCCCTTCTACCGCTACGCCAATGGGATTTGCTCCTGAGAGCTCTTCTCCATGATGCCACCGAGCGATGTGCTTACCGGACAGACCCGCCTGACTTCGGCGTTCCATAGTAACTTTGTCAAACTTCGTACATCCAGAACTGGCCGATACGATCGCTCCTTTGTTCCGAGGGTGTCGAAATTGTGGAACAATGTACAGTTCCCAGTTCTACTAACCTTGGGCAGTTTAAAAATCGGATTCACCAAATTTCTTTGGGATCGTCATAGCAGCCGCGGTGCCCTGGCATTTAGATTTCTGCCTTCACGGCTGCTTCGGTGTAAAAAAGATGTACACTTGCCGGACAATTCAACAGACATACGCGTGTCTGCTTTGAAAGCTGGGGGATAACTGAACGATGATGCATGAATCCGCGTATGCAACGCCGTGCTGGGTTTGCGAGTGCCGCGACGGGCAGAGTTGCCACGTTTCTGGGTGGTTGGTACTGTCAGTAGGGCGGTAGGCTAGATCGTGATGTTGTCAAATCTATGTAGAGTATCGACTTACTGTATGAGCCTGTTTGACTGACATGATCTATTTGATTTCTTTGTTATACATCAATATCACTGATCAACAGCCAAAAAATATCCTAAATAAAATCAACAAAATATTACTATTTTTAATGTGCTAAAACCGGAATGAAACTTATTTTTTCAACATTAGTTCATGTTTTAGAGATACGGTAATTATATGTGTTCCTGCTGTGACAGTGTTAATATACTGTAATTCACAAGAATGCACGTGATACATTTTTATATTCGGCAAGGAAAGATGATGTAATCGGCATGATTGTGTTACGTTATACATACGTGTACATTATATTGTTTTATATTAGCCATTTTTTCCTCAGTTGGCTGCCAGCGTTCATGCAAGATGTCTCGAAAGTGTGTAAACAATCCAGATCAGTTTTGTTACGTGTGTGGTGATGTGACTTTTGCGTCTCAGAGACGGTCTATTACTCCACTAATAACAAAGGCATATCAGCTTTATTTCGGTTGTAAACTAGGTGATCAAGACAAACAGTGGGCACCCCACATCTGCTGTAATACATGTGCTTCAAGTCTGAGGAGCTGGTTAAATGGCAAAAAACGGTCCATGCGCTTTGCTGTCCCAATGGTTTGGAGAGAGCCTACAAATCATATTAATGATTGTTACTTTTGCATGGTACCTTGTGTTGGACAAGCCACAGGTATGTCCAAGAAAAAAAAATCGGTTACTAACTACCCAAACATACCATCTGCGATGAGACCTGTGCCTCACAGTGACGAAAATCGTATTCCAAAACCCCCAGAATCCTACACTTGCGAATCAGAAAACGAATCAGAACATGGCGATCGAGTGATTCGTCAGGAAGAAGATATGCCATCAACGTCAAGAGATCCTGATTTTATACCGAGCACGTCATGCCACCAACCGCACAAAATAACACAGTCAGAATTAAATGATCTTCTAAGAGATTTAGAACTTCCAAAATGTAAGGCAGAGTTACTTGGATCAAGACTGCAGCAGTGGAACTTGTTAGAAGACGATGTTTCGGTATGTGTTTTTCGTAAACGCCACAAAGACTTAGAACCATTTTTCAATATGGAGAATAACTTGGTTTTCTGCAGTAACATTAACGGCTTACTGGCGGCTTTAAATATAAACTATAACCCAGAAGAATGGAGATTGTTTATAGACAGTTCAACATTGAGTTTAAAGGCAGTGTTATTGCATATTGGAAATATTTTATCATCTCTTCCTGTAGGGTATGCAGTTCACATGAAAGAATCATATGACAATATGAAGTACCTATTGACATGCATAAAATACGATGAGCACCAATGGCATATTTGAGGCGATTTGAAAGTTGTTGCACTTTTACTTGGGCTGCAGCTAGGCTACACAAAGTTTTGCTGTTTTTTGTGTGAATGGGACAGTCGGGCAAAGGCACTTCATTACACCAGACAAAACTGGCCTGTTCGTCAATTCCTAGAGCCAGGTCAAAAAAATGTACAGCATATGCCATTAGTAGATTCGAAAAAAATTTTATTACCACCACTGCATATCAAGTTGGGCCTAATGAAAACTTTGTCAAGGCATTAGATAGAGATGGTCAGCTTTTCAATACCTGCGTCAGAAATTTCCAAGACTAAGTGAGGCAAAGGTTAAAGACGGTATTTTTGTTGGGCCACAGATTCAAAATATTTTGAAAGATACACAGTTTGAAAACACTTTAACAGGTATTGAAAAAACTGCTTGGAATGATTTCCGTCTGGTGGTCACTAATTTCTTGGGAAATAGAAAAGCTGACAACTATAAAACCCTTGTCAAAAATATGCTGTCATCGTATCAAAAGATGGGCTGTAATATGTCTCTTAAGATACATTTCCTACACTCACACCTGGACGTTTTTCCTGACAATTGCGGAGCCGTAAGTGATGAGCACGGCGAACGTTTTCATCAGGATATTTCAACAATGGAAAAAAAGGTACCAGGGAAAGTGGAATCCTTCCATGCTTGCAGACTACTGTTGGACTCTTGGTAGAGATGCTCCAGAAACGATCCATAAAAGAACAGCAAAAAGACAGCGCATATAGTGATTCTTATAAGTATATGAATCTTGTTACTTTTTTTAATATATCCTTAAAAATAAAAAGTTTTTTTTCTAAACCGCAACTAATTTTTTTATTTCATTGTCATTTTTGGATTCAGCGCCCCAAAATTAACAAAGGAGTGCACTTTTCCCACAAGATACAATTAAAAAACTAAAATTTGTTGTCCAGTGATATTAGGAATACAGCAAATCATTATGAATTTAAGTCACTATTAAAACAACACAAACATTTTGGTAACAATCTTTGTCGAACATATTTTATGTTCACAGTAACATTGAAATTTTAGAAGCATTTCATACTTCATTTATTCGTATACAGTAATAGGCATTTTTATTGTTTACAGTATTATGCAATAATATGCAATAAAGACATACTACTTTCCATGTGGCCAATTTTTCTCCTATGCCGAATATCCTTTATGAATTGATGCGTTGAACAAAGAAGTGCAAATACAATCCTTTTGTTGTCAGTTATTATTTTCAGAAAGCTTCTAGGCTATAACGAAGTACCAGATATCTACAAAACATCGCAGATATTTCCTCAAAATGTGTCTCCGTTAGGACTATGCCAACAAACATAAAATAACAAAACTATAAAATAAATAAAAGTCTCAAAATGAGATCAAAATCGACCTACGTGCGTAACTTTTCATATATTTATATTGTTTCAGCTGCTTGCAGAGTATTTACCTTTGACCCCCCTCTGTTGGCAATTAAGCCAATGGGAGGCTGAAAGGGATATAAATTATTCAGCTTATTTCTGAAGCCTTAATCAAAGGAAAATTGGATGATATTGAAATTTAATTATTAATCCATGCTTCTTCAAAGTTTAAGTTGATTAAATTGATTAGAGGAGGGTTCTGAGACCTTACGATATTTTGGTCTTGAAGCAGAAAAAGGGTCATACGAGTTGTATTGATGAGACACCTTTGAACTTGAGTTGACGTCTAATCACTGGCCTTTATTATTTCGAGTTTCTAGAAAAGTTATTCGCCTCAAATACAGAGGGAGCGAATATTAGGAGTAATCTTTTTTTGAAATCAATTCTGTAAACGTAGCCAAACTGTCATATCTCCGATTCTGATTTTTTTAAATACTGCGGCTATATATCTTTGCTGTTTTGGCAGAAAAAAATTTAATTGTTTTAAATGAAATTATATATGTTATACGAGTTCTATTGAAGACACATCTTTGGATTTTAAATGATTTTTAGAGTTTTTAGAAAAGTCCTTAATCTCAAATACAGAATACAAATTTATGGGAGCATTTTAGGAACAAATTAATTTTGCAAATGCAGCCAAACTGTCAAAACTACGGTTCTGATTTTTTTTTGGCGGAACGCCTATGTGGTGGACGAAACTTGTCCGTTTCATCAAATCCGACTGCCAATCAGAGATGCTGGGAAACTGGGGTTTCTCTGTCGACGTAGGGATCGGCAGTTTCCAAATAGAAGAGAATCGCGAGTGTCTAAGGGCTGCGTTAAAAATGATAAAAAGCGGTTTCGCTAGGACACAGTGGCAATCGTTCAGGAGATCTGCAGGAACACCATCTGGCCCAGCAGTAATTTTTGTTTTAACTTTGTTAACGCATTTGTAACAGATTCCTCGAAGAAGCTATTGACATTGGTATTTGACTTACAAATCGATTCCCAGTCCTCAGTGACATTGTAATTTGACTTTGCTGTTTGGAATAAATATTAATAGAAAATAACAATAAAATGGATGAATCAGGAAGCTGACTGATTGCCAAACTGCTACCAGAAATGTAAAAAAAAATAATTACCTAATCGTTTTTTAATACTGACTCCAGGTATTCTCAACCTCAAGTTTTTGCTTCAGGTGTGCCCAGAAGATCGTGACCCAGCTGGAGCTTCCACTGTTAAAACAAAAAGGCCACAGATACGAAAAGTTGCCACAAGAAGACGAAGACGAGGACTTGCAAGCAACTGAAATCATCGTTCAAAAAGAAAAGGTAAGATGGTGGTCGGATAAGAAACGAGACAGGACAAAGAGCGAAGAGCGAATAGACAACAAGAAAAATGAGATTGTGGAGAAGCAGTTGGAGTTGAAAGAAAAACTGCTAGCTAAGTCTGATAAACCGAAGGAGAAGCATTTGCAGGCTACTCAAGAGGATTGTTTATAAGGGGATACTAAATCAAAAGCAATCTATTTCTGTTTTTATTTCGTCCAATAGGCAAATGGTGGCTTACCTACCGGTCCCTTAATTGGTACTATACAGGGTGATTCACGGAATTGTGGCAATAAAGGATCTATTTCCTTAGTAGTATCCATCAAAATGTATGCATACTGTTTGTATCATGTTAAAACGTTTACCTATTAATTTTTATTTACGATTGTTTTTAATTTTTTGCAAATTTATTTTATCCGTATGTGCCCTTACTTAAACAGAAAACTTCATGTCAACTCATATATTTTACGACTTCTTTACTGCGATACACACTATTCATTTCTTCTAATATTAAAGTTCTTGATTTCTCTTTCAATTGAGAGATATAGATGAAACTCTTTGAGTCATTATGAGACTCACATGGGGCGAGGAAATATTTAGCTTGATCTGCATACAAATTGATTTAAAAATTGAATTCGCACAGTATAAAACTATGAAGTATATTTTGTTACTGACTGCGATAACAGCCAGTAAAAAATAAAAAATTCATAATAGATAATTTTCTCGCTCAACAGCAATATGTCGTAAGTAGGTAAGCGACTGGTTGTTACGTTGGATGCTTTGAGATTATTTTCGTCAATTAGTATTAAAAGTCAATAGCGCCCTGTACGTGTCTGTACATTTTTCAGATGCAAAAATAACACAATTACAAAAAAAATGGATCGAAAATTAGAAATATGTGAACGTCCATACGTAAAAACGTGCATATTAAATTAAATCTGATTTCAGTTGAAGCAGATTACACATCCCTGACTTGACTTTTTTGATATAATAGTTGAACTGAAAATCTTGAGTTTGTTGTAAAAGCTTTATAAAAAAAAGTTTATTCTGATATTATCGTAAAAACTGTAATCTGACAGAATTTTTGTCCTTAGCTTTGATTGCCACTTAAGTTATTATATTCTATTGACAAAGAACCTCACAAAATTATTGAACATCATTTTATTCTTTGAATAACTAACACAACAGGAGAAAAATAAATTCGTACATCTCTATATAAATTTAAAAGTACTGTAGATTGAAGTGATATCTATACTTTTGTTACGAGTTAGTCTTTTGCTAAAATTTTGATTTTTTAGATTATTGTTTTGCTATATTACATGTGAAGTCACTTTTGTTTGACCAATCCATATTCACTGCAACTTTGAACATTTACGAACTTTTTAATAAATAAACCTCAATATTTCACATTTCCATTCCATATATTTCTAGAAATTCAAGTGCCAACCTTTTATTGTCCACTTCAGCGGAAAGCTTTTCCTGGAAATGGACTGTAACATGGGGATCCTCTGCGATTGGTCAATAAAAAGCTAGACGGTTTCATAGTCCTGAATATTTGTTTCCACCGTATCGCTTAAATAAAATTTATAAAGTTCTTCTAGGTCAATTTACATATACATTTAGATATGTCTGTTGTATATTAAAATTAAGAATTTTACAAAAGTTTTTAGAAAAACAGGACCGGTAAAAGGACGAGCTATTCATTTATTTATTATATGTTCACTGTCATTATAAAATAAATAAAATCAAAATGGTTAGAAGTTATTTTGTTTGAATATCTTATTGATGTAACATTCCAACTTTATGATTTTTTATGTTTTTTGATGTGAACTATGAATTCCATTGGAGTAGTTTATGAGATTGTGACATACAAGCTTCAAACGCAAAATGCGTCTTGATTTGCTTTGCCTAAAAGGTCAACTGTCATTTGTCACTTCTCAAAAAGTATCTTCGCAAAAATTCGATTTTCGTTTTGTTCAATTTATATTGGAAATGAGCCGCAACACAAAGAACAGAGTATTTTCTAAAACTCTACCATTTTATGCAAAAATTTTATAAATAATATACCGTATACATTAACGCGTAATACTGTCACTCTGTATATAAACAATTTGTTAGAATAATATAGATGAGACATATCTTGAAATCAAAATAACATTAACAATAATTAAAAAAGGACGTACAAATATCCTAGTGTAGCTTAAGATGGGTGAACTGAAAAACCAAATATTGCACAGCTCTTCAAAAAGACGAGTTTTGTATGTGGCATGAAGTAATTTGATGTACAATATGGGTCCTATTCCATAAAAATACTAAGCTAGTAAATTACAAGTCACCAGGAGAAACACTTGTGAAAATGTCAAATAATATTTTGTTCCACATATCACTTTGCACTTGTAATAAACATCATCTTGCAATTATAAGTGCCATACTGTCAAAATGACATTTCGTAAACCTTTTAATTTGTAAAAGTGTAATGAACCACATAAATGCTTTAATCGCTGGATTAAGGGCCATACCGTCAGTCGTTCCTACAATTGTAGGACACCTTTATGGCCTCCTTCATGTCTACAGTTTTTACTGTCCTTCAGAAATTTCGAGATTCTTTCGTGTCAGAGCTTTACTTTGAGGTTAAGTTTTCTTTTTGAATTGTATTTCAAGCAGATAAAACTTGATATTTAACATCTGTTTTATTAGCCTGAACTTTCTTAAGGTTTAAACATAACCTCAAAATAGGACAGCGCTGACGCTGACATGGAACAGTAAAAATCTGGAAACACCCCAGCTTTTCTGGAGGAGAGAAAATACTATGAAAGTCAAGGCGTCCTACAATTGTAGGAATGACTGGCGATACTGCACTTAGCCACAAAGTAACAAAATAAATCTTGGAAAGTACTTTCTGTCCGGCACGATCCTTCCGAAAAGATGTGGCAGTGTTTCAGAAATTATTTTTACACAACTCTCTTGTCATCCAATAATTGAATATGATACTTTTGAATACGGTATTCAGACATGACACTTGTATCAAATGCATTTAAAATATCAAGAAGAATAGTTGTGCTTTTATGGAACATAAACATTTCACTTTCTCAGTGGTCTATTCCGGATTTATAAAATATGTAGTGCTAGACATTGGAATATAGGCGTTGCTCTACGGTCTTCCATGTGGGGTCAAACGTGCAAATACTCCATCATTTGTCAGATTTAAATTCATATTCCTAACCTCAAACTGTCTATCTGCTAGGATTGTGACTACATTTTTAATGGTGAAAATAATATACTACTGGATTTCACCATTATTACAAAATAAACTCAAGAGGCGCCTAAATATACATCAGGATGTATTGAAGTATCATGGCAAATAGTGGCTAAAAAAGTTAAAGCGTCTGCCGAAAATACAGGAATTCTACCAATTCCGTTTGATTCATGTAATATACAGGGTGTTTCAGTTTATTGTTGCATAACTTTAAGATTCGATAGAACTTTTAAAATGAATGCATAAAGTCTATATAAACATGGGTCGAAAAATACGTGGCTTCCGAAATACAGGGTGTTTAAATTTACGTTCTAAAATAGTTTTTTTAAATATTTCGAACAATATTTGATGTATAACAGTGAAAATTGGTATACAAGGGTTTTTTGGTACGACAAAACGAACCATGGGCATAGTTTTACTGTAGGCGCTAGAGGGCGCTCTCTACTGTACCTGTAGTGTATTAAAATGACCGAAATTTTTTTCTTAGTGCAATTTTTTGCTTTTTGAATAAAAAACTGATTCTTCGCACTTTTCAACATAAAAAAGCTCTCTTGTGAATTTTCGTTATAGTTAGCCGTTTTTGAGATATTTCGATTTTTAAGGTTCGATGCATTTTTAATTATTTATGATAAAATAACGTAAAAAAGTCAGTATCTCGATAATTTTTAGAAGTAGGCTGTGCCTGCAAATATTTTCGAAATTGAAAGTATGTAGTTCGGGAAAGAAATTTTCAGCATGAATTTAGTGTGAACGTGTGGATTGGTATCTACCGTAATCGACTATTTGGACCCTACCTTTTGCCTGCAAGGTTAAATGCTGCGACCTTCTTGGAATTTTTAAAGGTTGATTCTTGTGTTTATTTGGAGTTAGGAATTATTGCTGTGTTTAAAAACACAATCTAAACGATCATCTTAATTACTTGTAATGCCCAAATCGAAAATGTAAAAAAAATATTATTTTCCCATAGATAATTAAAAATGCATCGAACCCTAAAAATCGAAATATCTCAAAAACGGGTAACTATAACGAAAACTCACAAGAGAGCTTTTTTATGTTGAAAAGTGCGAAGAATCATTTTTTTTTACTCAAAAAGCAAAAAATTGTACTAAGAAATAATTTTCGGTCATTTTAATACACTACAGGTACAGTAGAGGGCGCCCTCTAGCGGCTACAGTAAAACTATGCCCATAGTTCGTTTTGTCGTACCAAGAAACCATTGTATACCAATTTTCACTGTTATACATCAAATATTGTTCGAAATATTTAAAAAAAAAAGCTATTTTAGAAAGTAAATTCAAACACCCTGTATTTCGGAAGCCACGCATTTTTCGACCCATGTTTATATAGACTTTATGCATTAATTTTAAAAGTTCTATCAAATCTTGAAGAGATGCAACAATAAACTGAAACACCCTGTATACCGTCGTTTTCCAGTTCAACCGTCACTTGTTTTTATACAAAGTGAACCATTTTAATGTTGGCAATAATTATAATAAAATGACTAAATACCAGAAACATTAGTAAATCGTGTATTTACGCTGTACCATAGAATTTTAGAATTTTAATTTGTGTAGTGTCTTAAATGTATAAACGTACCAGTTGGAGGCAACCAAACTAAAATTGATGATTGTTCATTGATGCTGTATATTTTATTTTGGATACCTCGAATAATGTTATGAATTATTATAAAAATAAAATTATAAGTGCACGGTTGTCTTTTTTGAAACTTATTTTCCTTTATTATCCTATATTGTCCATTCATTTATTCCATACTAAATATGTTTTCAGATTTCCGTCTAGAAATCTTCAACCCCTCAACTACACTTGAGTATTTTTGCGAATATTACCATATTTCTTTTCCTAATATCTTCTGCGTCTATAAGTACACTTGTTATATAAAACCTGTCCAATTAAAAAATGTTCACGATCGTAATACTTCCTCACTTAAAACGTCGAAAATGAAGTATACACGTTTGAGCTTAAGTAATTCGCCTAAAGTAACAGAATTTTGTTCTCATAAGGCTTTGGCATAAATTGACCTAGCTATTTTAAAAACAAGTGCTACAAGTCTAGATAGGTCTTTCCTACCTGAATCAATACTCGAATTTCGTATTAAATTAGGAATGACGCTTCACCTACAAAACATTTCGACATCGTAAAATAATGTTCATTAAAATGTAAATGACTATAAATACAACTCAATGTGAAATGTAATAAGTTCTTCATGTTACGTTAGTATGGATATCCTGTAAACACCATATATTCTCACCTTTTCGATCCTACTCAGCGGGGAAGTGGCAAATGCTTGTTCCGGAAGGTGTTGTATCCAGTATATAACTTCTACCCGTTCAAGTGATTGTACTATTTAATATCAGTAACACGTAAAAAGGTGGTGGTAGACAAGGACCAGTCGACCGAGGCGGTACCACCAGCTAGCTTTTCCCAGGGTGCCTTATAAATGTCCGCATGTTTCCACACCTAAGCTATGCAAGCGGTTATCTTCCAAAACAAAGAAATCAATGATGATGGATCCCTCGAGCACTAAGTGCACGTTTACATCAAACGCGCTTCGCTTGGAGCTGTGCGCTTTGCTTTACAGCCCAGTAGGAAGCGAGAGGAACGACAACACAGCTTTAAATGAATGTGTTCAGACCGCGCGCATGGCGCTACGCGCTGTGCCTTACGTTATACTATGCGGAGCGGTGGAAAACGCGATGTGTTGGTTTTGCGTTGCGTTTTGCCTCGCTTGTTCAGACAACTCCGAGGGTTATCTGCATAAACACAATGGAAGAAGAAATTATCACCGCCGTTTTTAAACGAGAGGCAATATGGAATCCGAAGCATGCGTTGCATAAAAATGTATACGCGTTACAAAAAATGTGGAAAGAAATAGGAGACGAAGTTGGAAAAGATGGTGAGTTCATATTATGTTTTAACTAGGGATGGATATAATATATCAACTTTTAGAATGTGTCGATGTCTTCTTTTTGTTGTCCGTATTTTTGCATCGGTTTTGGTTTCCATGTATAGGGGCGTATTCGTGTTTTTATTCTATGTATAAGTGGTTTGCGATACGTCATCTGTATAAACCATCGTGTGTATGAGGTAGTAGCAGTTTTAATTTTTAAGGCAGAGTAGTTAAAGAACAAAATAATTAGGGAATAGAAACTCAAAGATAATACTATATAATACATTTATTGTACGAAAGAAAATTGATTCTGCCACTCAACTGCACCAGTAGTCACAAAATAATTTGTTAATATTTCTCTGGTTCTCTTTGCATCTTCGGAAAAGCGATACTGGGAGTGTGTGTAGGTACTCGGATTAATATCGCCGCTAAAGCCCGTCTGACATTCCTTATTTGTCTTAAATCCCTCCTGTTCTATAACAAAATTGTGCAAAATACAAATGGCCTTTACAATATTTATAGCTGTCTCAATTTTTGTTTCGATAGGTTTTAGTAAAATTCGCCATTTGCCACTCATTATGCCAAATGCGCATTCAGCACATCGCCGGGCTCTGGAGAGACGATAATTAAAAATTCTTTTTGAATTATCTAAATTTCTTCTAGGATATGGCCTCATTAGGTATGGAAGCAGAGGGTAAGCTTCATCGCCTACTATAACCAATGGGGCTTTTATATTTGTTTGTGGTAAGCATTGATCAGGTGGGACGTCAAGCTCTTTTCTGTCTAATGCTCGAAAAAGCGACGAGGACCTAAAATTTCCTCCATCGCTTTGGCGTCCAAAACTCCCAATATCAACCGCAATTAATTTACAGTCAGCATCAACTAGGGCTTGAAGTAATATTGAAAAATATTGCTTATAATTATAGTATAGAGATCCGGTATTGGAGGGACATTTAACTTCAATATGTTTGCCGTCAATACTGCCTATGCAATTTGGAAAATTCCATTTGGTCCAATATTGTTGTGATTTATTGTGCCACGTTGCTTGTGTAGGTTTTGGTAGGTAATCACTTTTCATGGTATCCCATATTACCATGCATGTATGATTTACAATATTTGAAACTGTTGCCACCCCCAATCTGAAGTGTAGAGCTAGGGATCGATAGGATTCTCCAGTAGCAAGAAATCTGCAACAAACATACATAAAATATGCTTGGTGTTAATAGCAATTTTTGTTTCAGTTCAAACTGTTAAAAATAAATGGAAATACTTGAGGGACTACTTTAACAGAGAAACAAAAAAGTTAGAAAAACCCAGATCAGGCAGTGGAGCAAATGAAGCTGTAGCAAGTCCTTGGCAATATTATTCTCTTTTGTTATTTTTAAAAGACCATCTGCAAACCCCACTGAGGGATGCAAATATAGAAGCGGAAAGGGTCACAGAAGATATTGACTTAGAATATAATGATATACAGGACGTAGAGTCGCAAGATTCTGACAATGTTTTGTCACCGCCATCGACCAGCAGTCAAGCACCTTCAAGGTCTGCAAGCCGATTATCTTCTACTTCTGAAACTCGGAAGGGGGCGCAGAAGCGAAAGAAGCAACTGGCAACAGAAAACGACAATAGCGAACTAATAATGTTAGAAAAACGGAAACTTGAGCTCCTAGAGTCTGAATCACTTAAAGAAAATGATGATGATCTTTTGTTCCTAAAGAGTCTTTTGCCATACATGAAGAGTCTTCCTGCTTCAAGAAGATTACGTCTAAGATTAAAGTTTCAGGAACTGCTTCTTCAGCAAGTTGAGGAGCATGAAAGTGAAGTTTCACAAAATGTTTGTGGACAACCTCCGGCACGTGTCTTTACCTTCCCCGCTCCCTCAAGTTCCGCTTCGGACAATCATACATACCATCATCACATACCGATACAGTCAACACATCCGGATCCGACCACACACAATGTATCTGAAGGTAGTGAATTGGACACCCCTATGCGAAGTTTTTTTTCAGGATATAACGCGTAACATTTTTATTCGGACAAATGTATTTTTTAATAAAATAAAACTCAGTTTTTCATAAACACTATAATTTTATTTTGGCTTACCTCAATGTTATAACCAAACGTTGTTCTGCTGAAATCCTTTCACGGAAATTGGTTCCAATCCCACATAAATAAGGATCCAAATGGCTTAGGAGAAGGTCGAAAGATTCCTTTGACATCCTCAAGTATTCATAAAATTTTTCTGGATATTTTCTGGCATCTCGATAGAGGTGATAGAATTCTCCGAACGATTTCCTACATATATTAATCTCATGCACCCACGATCGTTTTAGTTTTTTTCTATTCACTTTCAACGCAATACTTTCGAGTAGTAATATCTTCTTAACTCGTGAAGGAGCCATGGTGAAATGCTTGGAAAATGCGTCTTTAAATATAAAGTGTGTTTTAATAACAGTCGAGGTATGAAAAGCGAAGCGCCTCCGATATGAATGAACCCGAACGCATAGAGGTTCGCTTGACATGAAGTGAGGCGCACAGCTCCAAGCGAAGCGCGCTCGATGTAAACGTGCCCTAAGAACTCCGGACGTAAACTCACTCCACTCTCGGAATGTCCGGGTGGAGGGTGGGCTCGAGGCAACAACGTCGAAGATAAAATTTGTTTTACGAACATCTGCGGGATTAACAGCAACATTGAAGCAGTTCATCACTACCTGCAATCCAATCGTTCCGCCATGCTTTTCTTGGCGGAGACAAAAATCTCAGAGTCTGCACCGATTAACCATCTTAACTTTCCAAACTACGAGGTGCACTCTGAGAAAAAACGGGGAAGTTGGGGCTTTTGATCACAGCAGTCGTCCCTGCTCCAGAGATGTTTCTTTGGAATCAGACCAGAAAGACATTCTGTGGCTTCGCCTCAACTCCAAAACATCACCCAAATTTATTTGCTGCCTTTATCGCTCTCCCTCGGACCATAACTGGGATGATTGACGGGTTCTCCTCTTTATCCCACAACGTCAACGCGGGTGTTTCCCAGTTATCGGTCTTGGCTCCGACACTGTTTCTCTTGCATATCAACCCAATCCACAGCTTCGCTGATGATAGCACTCTACATGCAGGAATTCAGTGACAAGCCGGCATTTAGGCTTCTGCCTGCGCGGCTGCTTCGACATAAAAAAAATATTGTATGTGTGTATGAAATGTTTTAATATTCTTGACCAGCCAGGGATTTTCTTCTCTTACCGTTCTCCTTTGAAATTCAGCAAATTTGCATATGTAATTTCCAAGTTGAATAAGGAAAAGCGGATATGCAAGTAATTTTGAGCTTTGGATACATCTCAATAAAGTGTATATGAGACAAGATACCAATGGAATTATCATCAACACAGATTATTAGCAGACAAATCCTGTGTACTGCCGTTTCCTTCTAGCTATAGTATACAACTTACAGCCGATACAAATTTGTTTTTATTAGTTTATAGTTTTTGATTAATTCATGAATATTTACTTCTAAAAATTCAAATTTACAGCAATTACTTGCGCGATTTTTTATGAGTGATCCACTTTTTTTACTCAAATCACCCACTGAGCTGAATAACACCATGTACTTCCTGGAGAGATTCTTTATTTAGAGCTGGACACTTTCACACGGACAATTTATACATATGATGGGAGGAACTCTAACTGTAGCTATTTGGATCATATGCATGATGCTGGCAAAGATCATGGTGATGAGCATGATCCATTGCTTGGTTCCTGTACAAGCAGTGGTCACTACCGCAACTCAGATCACTTTCGTGAATTCGATCCTTCTCATCGCCAGAATCTAAAAGACGAGGAAACTGTATTAAACGGGGCTGTCCCATTTCGATAACAGCACCTTCTAGAAACAAGTGTCAAACAAAAGTTGTAGGGTTTCTTGGAGGCAAAATAATAGTAACCTGCATTTAAGGTCAGCTTCAAATAAACACCCATTTTTCACATCGGCCTTGAAAAGAGGAGGAAGTTTTACGTCTGTACATAACCTTGGCCATGCCCTTGACCATGTCTTTCAAGGCCATTTCAAGATCAAATCAAGACAACGAAAACAATTTGCTCCAGCAAAAATGTTCGACAGCCCAATTGCAAGTTTTTTTGGGATCGCCCAAAGGTGACCCCAGCATGACCTCTACCATGACTATCAAGGTCAAGTCAAAATTGCTAAAGGAAGCCTCTTTTCTATACTGGAAATGAAAAAACATGAAATTTTAAGTCCCAATATAACATTGACCTCAAACAACATTTAACCTTGAAACGACCTTGTCTCCGAGCTTAAGATCATATTTGGATGTTATATTTCCAATCCCAGTGTAAAAATGAGAAATTTTCGTCGTCTTCTTTTCAACTCCGATGAGAGATTTCCTTTGTTGACCCGTAGGTCATGTGAGGTCACATTTTGGGTAATGCGCACAAACCTCGCATCTGTGCGGTCGAACATTCTTGCTAAATTGTTTTCAACGTCTTGATTAGACCTTGAAGAATATAGTCAAGGTCATGCTGATGGTCATACTCGGACGTGAACGTTTCTCCTCTTTTAAATTCCGAAGTATGAAAGGAAGGTTCTTTTAAAAAATGTTCACTTGACCTTTGAAAGTCGTGCTCAAGATCATTATCGTATATACATTTGCAAACCTCTTGGAAGAATATTCTGATTCCGTTTTTTGCATAATCTTATTTAAATTCTCCCAACGAATTTGCAGGTCAAAAATCAGGTCAAAAATTTTCAAGCAAATCGTGGACGATATCAAATATTAAATCACTTGTATTTCGAATATAACTTTAAATAAAAGTGTATAAGAACCTTTCTTGTTAAGAATAAGCAAGAAAACCAATACACAGCAAAGTACCATTTCTTGGAATCGTTTGGGAAATATTGTTTAACCAATCTTTTAAACTGTTTAACCAATTTTACGGTAAGACTATACTTTAGCACATATCGCAAATACTTCATTTCTTACTTTAAAATGAAAGATTACGATGTAACTTATACGAAAATATCATTTTTTCTTTAAGGAACCCTCTGCTTGCTATTTTATAGAACTTCGGAGTTGCATTTTTGGTGGTAACACTCTAGAATAAAAATACTGTTTTATATACGTCTTTTTTTGCTTTCTGTACAAAAGGATGCTCTAAATGTCTAAATTATAAGAATATAACATACATTCTATAGTAGTACTAAGGAAAATAGATATGGAACTGTTAAAAATCGTTGTTTTTGCAAAAAAAGGTTAAAAACCATATTAGCTTATTAGCTTAAATAACATATCAAAATGCATACGTAAATGATGGTATTTACTTGGTAAACTGTGTGGAGGTGTTGTTTTATGATTTTTCGATGTCTTCTTGAAATTGCTTAACCATTTTTTTCGCGTATTTTCAATGGGATCAAAGTTTTTGCGTTTATAAGAAATATTTGAAAGTACAAACAATTCTCAATGGCGATTTTGTTACGCTCATTTCTTGACAGATAAGATAAATGATGTCCATTGTTGTCAAGTTGTACCTTTTTTGGGAGAAATACGTAATTGGAAATGAGGTTATTTGCAAAATAAAAGCCTTCATTTATTGTATATGGCTTGTTTTTTGAAAAGTTGTCCCAATATTTACCGACAACTACATGAAACTTTGAACAGTATGTATCTAAACAGTGGAAAATGCACCAGTGGCTCGCGTGACATAAAAAATACAAAAGGCACCAGAGGTCATTGCATATAAAAATACCCCACATCGCCTGGTCCATACAATAAATCATCGTCCAACATCATAGTTAAATAAAGGTCAACGACCATTTCATAAAATCATTAAAAAACTTGCAATGTTCTTGGTTATGTTTTCATTATTTAGTGATTTGCAACAGCTACTTTTTCAGTTATTTCTCATATATATCACATTTAATTATTTAATTAGGTACATTTTGTAACATCAGCTTCACATTGAATAATTCTTCAAGTACATACATACAAAATGTAAATAGATTATAACTATAATATAGGAAAAACAATATCCGAAGTACTTTTGTGAAGGACATAGGGCATTCTTCAAAAAAGTCTCTTTAGCTAACGCTATCGTAGGGCACAAGGTAGATTTAGTACAGTAAAACCTACCGGCCACACCTCCAAATCGCATTTTCATGACAATCCTGTGCCGATTGCACATTTTTGGTGCTAGTATTTAAGTAAGAATTTCACAAGTCCATGATTTGGCAACATCGCAACTAGATGGAGAGAATATGACAGTGACGGTAATGCAGTGATGGGAATAATTATCTGAAATAAAAGAAATGACTACTTAACAATGAACTATTTTCATCATTCAAATAATGCAAAATTGCATTGTTGCGATGAACAGTATTACAGTAACTTACAGTGTTTGTTATATTCATATAATTTTGAACAATATTTTGTATAAACAAGAAGAAAACATCTTATAAAGCAGTATTCTATACCACAGCATTAGTACCCAAAATGCAACTTTGCAGTTCTATAAAATAGCAAGCATAGAGATCCTTAAAGAAACAATGATATTTTCGTGCAAGTTACATCCTAATCTTTCATTTTAAAATCAGAAGTGAAATATTTCCCATATGCGCTAAAGTGTTCAGCCAATTTTGCTTCCTACGCCACTGAGCGAGAAAGTATTGTAATCGCGAAAATGTTCAAAAATGAGTTCTTGTGTTTTCTTGATGTTATATAACATGTACATCACGAAAAACCATGTAACTCATTTCGGTGGTTTTTCGCTATGTCTGTCTGTTTGTCTTCTAATCCTTGGCCGGTCTATAACTTGAGACTTGGATTTTGATGAAATTTTCACACAAGGTTGCTACTATGCCAATGACGAAAAGTCTGTATCGTTTTTGAGAATGGGTTCAGTGGCGGCGATGAAAAAAGCATAAATAAGAAGGTCCTTATCATTTCTCGAAAATTTCAGGGATTAAGAGTTGTAATGGGTGGGAAAGGGTATATGAAAATGTTTTGATTTTATACTAAGTGACATATAAATCCGAACACCCAGTTTAAATGGTTTTATTTTAATAAAAGTTGGTGAATGTATTTATCTTACTGTAAATAACAAGTGAAAAAATTTTCTAGCTTATCAGTTGGATATTCCGGTTTTTATACTGCTTTTTTTTAATTCACTAACGCTCTAAAAATGAATATTTCAGCCGCAGTAAAGAATCAACGTTGGCGGATTTTGGTTCTTAACATCCTTTACGATCGGTTACGATCCCTAGAGTACGGAGACCTGTACGATTTCGTCAACTTAGTGAGTTTGATAGGGACCGTATAGTGGGACTTCGGGAAGCTAGACTTTCTTTTCGGGCAATTGCAGTTAGTGTGCAAAGAAGTGTAGACACTGTGGTTAGGTGTTGTCAGGTATGGCTTCGAGAAGGCCGTACACAAAGGGACCGTTTCTCCACTACCAGGTCCATTGCAAATGAATGGTTTGCAGAACACGGAAGATCTATTGGCATGCGAAGTGTTTACCGACGAATGAGAAGTTTTGGCTTGTTTTTATGCCGGCCACACTGGGTGCTCCCTTTAACTCGAGAACACCGACGTAATCGCCTTGAGTGGTGCAGACAACGGTCACTCTGGGATCAGGAATGGAACAGTATTGTCTTTAGTGACGAGTCTCGATTTTGTTTAGGCATGCACGATGGTCGTGCCAGGGTTAGAAGGCGACGTGGTGAAAGGAGGAATCCACAGTTTTTTGTTGAAAGATATGTTCATCACACTGTTGGAGTTATGGTTTGGGGTGCTATAGCTTATGGTTCCAGGTCACCTTTAATCTTCATCAGAGGAAACATGAACGCGCAGCGTTATATCCACGAAGTTCTAGAACCCTATCTTTTACCCTATCTTGACACCCTGGCCGATCCAACTTTCCAACAAGATAATGTCCGACCACATGTTGCAAGAGTCATAATAGACTTCTTTCAACAGAATGATGTCACATTGTTACCATGGCCACCAAGATCTCCCGACTTATCCCCAATTGAGGACGTGTGGGATATGATGGGTAGGAGATTGCTCAATTTGCAACGTCCTCCTCAGACTCTAGAAGCACTTCGAGAGGAGTTGGTGGTTGCCTGGAATGAGATACCACAGGAGGACATTGACCACCTGATCAGAAGCATGCCTAGGCGCGTTGGAGAATGCGTAGCACATCAGGGTGCATCCACACATTATTAAAGGTCAAAGGGCTTTAAAGCAGTGCAATCATTTTGAAATTTTTATCATTTACTTTTTATGCTTCATTAAGTACTTATACATTTTTTTTTAAAATAATACCATTTAAACTGGGTGTTCGGATTTATATGTCACTTAGTATAGTATATTCATATGCTCCCAACCCTGGTAATTCTGTGCCTATTAGTCATATTTAACACATCGTAGATTTTCCCACACATTGGCCTTTAAAACTGTTTTAGATCCGCGTATTCCTGCTAAATCAGATCACCGCCCCGCGAACTGGTCCGGATGACTAATCTCACCGTACTGCAGCAAAAAAACATATACTCGGGCACGGACCATACACGAAATGTTCGATAACTCGCTGCAGATGTGGGAAGGGACAGCGTTGTCAGCTGGATAGTAACTACCGATAAGACAAGGAAAGAATGTCTATGGACTAATTGTATTGGCCTGTTTGATTGACTTGATCCCTTCAATTTCCCTGTTGAACATGTTCTCAACTGATTTTTTCTTAGAGGATTTAAATTGCACCGAACTTAATGAACTAATGACGGCATTGTGTAGAAAGTGCAGAGTCAACCACCTAGACGACATTTTTTAGACCTGGCAACATGCAGATTCGTTAAAAGTGGAATCAAAATATGTTTCCGAGCTAATGCGAAGATCCTGGTCGGAATAGAAAATTACCGTCATATTTTGGAATGGGTTCATCCTTAATGCTTTTGCTTGATTTTTGTCTTGCTGAAGTCCCACTGTCTTCTCTTTTTAGACCATCTGCCTTGCTCAATCTACGCTTCTTGTCAGACGAATGTTTCTTATTTTTTTCCTTAGTGTCTTCATCGTCTGTACTACCTGACACAATAGAAAAATGTTTTCAGATTCAGACGGCTTCTCCGGAATGCTATGTAGCTCCAAATATAAATAATAATATCTATTCGCGAAAATACAAAGTTGTTTAAAAATGGGCAAATAAATTTGAAAAATCCACAACAAATGCAAATATGTCGTATTCTACATGAGAAGACCCTCCATTCCATCCTAACCGTGTCGAACTTCGTTTATCCAGAGCTGGCCGATACGACCGCTCCTTTGTCCCGAGGGTGTCGAAACTGTGGAGCAATCTACAAGAGGAATATTTTCCCAGTTCTACTAATCTTGGTCTGTTCAAAAATCGGATTAACAAAATTTCTTTGAGATTCTCAAAGCAGCTGCGGTGTCCTGGCACTCAGGCTTCCGCCAGCGCGGCTGCTTCGGTTTAAGACAAATAAAAATACCAAAGTGTACAAAAATTCACTTAGATACTATAGATACATATACATTTGTTCAGAATTTGCGTGGCTAGTACAATCTTGACGCCATTTTTTTGACCACCAAATAACTGCACTATATTGCAAGCTGAAGGGAGACACGGATATTTTTGGCTACTGATAGGTATATCTTACTTTTAGCACTCGATGCATTTCCCTCGTCATCCACATCCTTGAAATCTCCTTCATAATGTCTCCTCCTCCTCCTCCTCCTGCCTTTTCTAGATTTCCTCCCGCGTTTACTGCGACGTCTCCTCCTGGGTACTTGCCTCAAGGGCAGATCGTCTTGCATGTTCGCCTCCAGCTTCTGGAACTTTTTGAACACTTGGTAGTCCTTTTTATCCATGCCTAGCTTGTATTTACCTCCTGGCACTTGTTTGATCAGGCCGAATTTGACACCTGACCTGTATATAAATTTTGCTGCTAAGTCCATGCAGTTAGGATTCAATTTCAACTATTGAAATCTTAGTTTTTTTCTTATACTAGAGAATGTAAATTTAACAACTAGAAGAAATTTGAGATACCGACATGTCAGTGCCCCACCACATTACCATCGAGTGGTACCGGAATAGCTAGACCGCTGGCGCCCTATTGGTTGGATAGGGAGAGGTGGACCGATGAATTGGTCAGCAGGATCTCCCGCTAGGCTATTATAAATGTATCCAATCCAGAGGGTGGAGTGGGAGACCGTGCATGCAGCCTGGCCCGGTGGCCGGCCGATGATGTTATATATTATAAAGGGTGGCGCATCGAAAACGAAACAGCCGCATTTACTGGCAGCTCAGTTTTTTTTTCAAAAACGCTCAGACCCGTCGATTTTGTTTTCGAGGGGGACACAAGTTAATGTTGAAAATGGCGACCATGACTCTCTATGCAATAATAAAGATTTTGCTCAAAACGTTGCCGCACATTTTGCAATATTTGAGGGGCAATTTGAAGGCACTCCTTCACAATTCTTTGTCGCAGGTCTTCTAATGATGTTGGCTGAGTAGCATAGATTTTGCTTTTTAAATGAAACCACATAATGAAATCCAAAGGTGATAAATCTGGCGACCTTGCGGGCTATTCAATGGCACCTCTACTACCAAACCATCGATCTGGAAATGTCTGATCTAAATATTGTCGAACACGTAATGGGTAATGTGGTGGGGGCACCATCCTGTTGGAACATCAATCTATTCGCAATGTACCGCCGATCCTTCTGATTTTCAATTATGGCTGTTAATGCAGGATCTATCGCGTCTTCCAGTAATTCCAAATACATTTCACCGGTCAAATTTCCAGGTAAGAAAAAAGGACCAACTAAATGATCGGCAAAAATACCAGCCCAAACATTTAATTTTTGTGGTTGCTGTGTATGAACCTCATGGTAAATTCTGGGATTAGAATCGGACCAATATCGGCAGTTCTGAGGATTTACTACGCCATTTAAGAAAAAGGAACATTTGTCGGAAAAGCAAGTGTTGAATAGAAAATGTTCATCGTTTATAATTCGTTCACTCATATCTTCCCAAAATTGTAATCGCCGATCAAAATCATCTTCATTAAGTTCTTGTGACAGGTGAATTTTATACGGATGAAAGCTATGGGCCTTTAGAACCCGTTGGACAGTACGTCGACTAACACCACACACAGTCTCCAATTTGCAGGTACTTAACGTAGGATCTACATGAACTTGCCCAAAAACCCCCACCTCTTTTACTTCGTCCGTTATGGGATTTTCAATGTTGCGTTTTTTATTGGCGACTGACCCAGTTTCCCGAAATTTAGCTACAAGTTCTAGAACATATTTTCGATGCACGTTACTGTTCTCATGTCGCTCATTAAATATTTCTGCTGTTCTATTAGCGCACTAATTAGTTCCGAAAAATACTTCGATAATTTCTGCTGTGGAATATACCACAGTTAATTTATGTAATGAAGTGTTACAACTTATTTTAGCAACAAAGTTTGGTCAAATCAATCGCAAACTATGTACTAAATTCCTATTTAAAATAAGTACGAGATATTTCCTTATCTTTCTTCAAGAAATAACTTTTTTGCCACAAAAGAACGCTCCAACAGCTATTTTCAACAACAAAATGATAAACAAACCATCGGCGTAGTGAAGAAAAGCATTTACTTATTAAGAAAATTCTTTTAGTCAAATTTCTTCTGAAAGTAGTACAAACTAATCTGATGTACCTATTAAAGTCTACTTTAAGCTTTAATTCAATAAAACTTCAAAACTACTGAACTGAAGCTCATGTATTTTACATTATAAAGGGAATTGAAAGACCATTAAAATAAGGTATCATTCGATCCCCCTTTCCATTTAAGATTTTAGGGTTGGTATCACCCCTGCCCAGGGGGCTGCACGTGTTAACGTGATTTTTTGTCAAACTTGTGTCCCCCTCGAAAACAAAATCGACGAGTCTAAGCGTTTTTCCAAAAAAAACTGAGCTGCCAGTAAATGCGTCTCTTTCGTTTTCGATGCGCCACCCTGTATATATACAGTACAGAGTTGGCAGTTGGCATCAAATTTATCCTACCGGTACTACTGTGTGCTTATTAGATTTGTCACTTTAATTTCGTAGATCTCAAAATGTCTGATACGGATACAGCTGACGAAGTTGTTGATATTAGCTGCACACCGCCTAAAAAAGAGCTAAACTCCTTTTTTTAGCGTTAGCGAAAAACAAATGATTCTCAATATTTATAAACACGAAATGCAAGGAAAGAGTGACTCAAGTGTTCAGGACCTTGCAAAGTAGCGAGTATTTCGGGCGTTAGTCGTGCAAGTGTTTTCCGAATTGTTCGGAAGTACAGATCTAACCATTGACAAGTATCCGCCAAGAAAAAAAAATCAACGATGCCATAGATGACTTGGGCAGAACCGCCATAATGAGAATTGTACACAATTTTTTCTTTCGTAATGAATCAGCAACGGTGGATAAAGTGCTGAAGCTGGTTAACGAGGATAATGACTTGACAAGTTTTAAGAGATCTACCTTCCATAAATTATTTAAAAAAATGGGGTTTCAATACAAAAAGCGAGGAAGAAACAGTATTTTATAGGAAAAAGAGGAAATAGTTATCTGGAGTACGGACTATCTAACACAAATCAGAAAATTTCGTGCAGAAGGTATGAAAATATACTACCTAGATGGAACATGGGTCAACGCTGAGCATACACAGGCGAAGGTTTAAATGGATTCTTCCACAAAATCTTCAAAGCTAGCGTTCTTGAATGGACCATCCACTGAGAATGATTTTCATTTTCAAATACATGTATTTCCGGTCTTAGGGGTAAAATGTCTGTGCAATAAATTTTTGTATAATATTTAGTATATATTATTATGTATTCAAATCCTTTTTCTTTCAAACCCACCTATGTATTCATTTTTTAGTCTAATACTTGAATTGAATGTTTGCACACTGACGTCCCTGTTCAAGCGATGGTTAGGTATATGCATATGCAGTTATTGCTTTAATGCGTCAAGACATTTTTCAAAAGCCTGCTTTATAAATACGCCTTACGACACATTTCGAGTATAATTTATTAATAAAACACTTCTACTAAAAACAATAATACATAGTTGTTATTAATAATTCCAAGCTTTATGTTTGGACCCTATACATGCCCGCAATAATTTTACTTACTTTTTGATCGTGCCGTAAAACCACAAACCATTTGTTCTTAGTACGGCCCTGTAACGTGCTCGGCGTTCTAGAGCGCGATCACGTGGACTATACGTTAATGTGTTTGGGTTTGGTCTCTTTCTTCCATGGATACATAAGAGGCAAAGTAGAGGACAGCAGCCCTCTTGCTCCCCCCTCCTGAGTACGCCCTTGTTTCCAATAAGAAAATTAATTAATAGAGTTATTACCTCAAAGCCTTTTTGAACACGAGCTCGGCTTTCTTAGCAGGAACTTTGTGGGCAACCATCAATCGCTGCATGATCTTTTGAGGTGGTGAACCGTTGACATCCCTCATACTGGCTATGGTGTCCAGCACCTGAGCAAGCACTTGTGGCTTGGAGTCTGACGTCATTTTCTGCTTTGGCTTGTGCATACGGAATCGATTCGGAGGAGTGCACGCTCGTCTACAAAATCAATAAATCGAAATATTAATTAACCAGAAAAAAGTTTGTCGATAGTGGTGGAAGATACTTCACAAACTGACATTTCTAATAAGGGCCGTATTGTCAGTCGTTCCTACAATTGTAGGCCGCCTTTATAGCCTCCTTGATTTCCATAGTTCTTTCTGTCCTTCAGAAAGGCGCTCTATTTTGAGGTTATGTTAAAAATATCAATTTGCGACAAACTGTTCATGCTTTCGATTTTTGTCATCTGTCTTATCAGCCTGAAATTTCCTACAATTCAAAAAGGAAACAGTAATGCCCCATCCTTTCTGAATGTGAGAAAATGTTATGAGAATCACGGAGGCCATAAAAGTGTCCTGCTATGCTTCCTTTTTGAATTGTAAGGCTGTATAAGGCTGATATAATAGATAAATCCACAGCATGAACAATTTTATGATAGATATTTGTAACATAACCTCAAAATAGAGCGCTGACACCGAGCACTAGAAAACTATAAAAACCATGGAGGCCATGAAGGCGACCTAGAATTGTAGGAATGACTGACGATACGGCCCTAATTAACGAATCACGACGGTAACCCAATACCGTGAAGTAGAGCTCTCACAAATAGCAGTAAAAAGTATACTAAGTGACATATAAATCCGAACATCCAGTTTAAATGGTTTTATTTTAATTAAAGTTGGTGAATGTATTTATCTTACTGTAAATAACAAGTGAAAAATTTTTTAGCCTTATCAGTTGGACATGCCGGTTTTTATACTGCTTTTTTTTAATTCACTAACGCTCTAAAAATGAATATTTCAGCCGCAGTAAAGAATCAACGTTGGCGGATTTTGGTTCTTGACATCCTTTACGATCGGGTACGATGCCTAGAGTACGGAGACCTGTACGATTTCGTCAACTTAGTGAGTTTGATAGGGGCCGTATAGTGGAACTTCGGGAAGCTGAACTTTCTTTTCGCGCAATTGCAGTTAGAGTGCAAAGAAGTGGAGACACTGTGGTTAGGTGTTGTCAGGCATGGCTTCGAGAAGGCCGTTCGCAAAGAGCAAGGGGCACTGGACGCTGCCGTAGAACAACAGACCGTGAAGATCGCCACCTAAGATTATTGGCTTTAAGGGACCGTTTCTCCACTACCAGGTCCATTGCAAATGAATGGTTTGCAGAACACGGAAGACCTATTGGCATGCGAAGTGTTTGCCGACGAATGAGAAGTTCTGGCTTTTTTTCATACCGGCCACACTGGGTCCTCCCTTTAACTCGAGAACACCGACGTAATCGCCTTGAGTGGTGCAGACAACGGTCACTCTGGGATCAGGAATGGAACAGTATTGTCTTTAGTGACGAGTCTCGATTTTGTTTAGGCATGCACGATGGTCGTGCCAGGGTTAGAAGGCGACGTGGTGAAAGGAGGAATCCACAGTTTTTTTGTTGAAAGACATGTTCATCACACTGTTGGAGTTATGGTTTGGGGTGCTATAGCTTATGGTTCCAGGTCACCTTTAATCTTCAACAGAGGTAACATAAACGCGCAGCGTTATATCCACGGAGTTCTAAAACCCCATCTGTTACCCTATCTTGACACCCTGGCAGATCCAACTTTCCAACAAGATAATGCCCGACCACATGTTGCAAGAGTCACAATAGACTTCTTTCAACATAATGATGTCACATTGTTACCATGGCCACCAAGATCTCCCGACTTATCCCCAATTGAGCACGTGTGGGATATGATGGGTAGGAGATTTCTCAATTTGCAACGTCCTCCTCAGACTCTAGAAGCACTTCGAGAGGAGTTGGTGGTTGCCTGAAATGAGATACCACAGGAGGACATTGACCACCTGATCAGAAGCATGCCTAGGCGCGTTAGAGAATGCATAGCACATCAGGGTGCATCCACACATTATTAAAGGTCAAAGGGCTTTAAATCAGTGCAATCATTTTGAAATTTTTATCATTTACTTATTATGCTTCATTAAGTACTTATACAAAATTTTATTAAAATAAAACCATTTAAGCTGGGTGTTCGGATTTATATGTCACTTAGTATATTTCAATTACAAAGTATCAATTACCTGAAATTTTTTACCATAAGTTCCTTCAAATAGTACTCAAGTGTCAAATTAATACTTTAATCTAGTACTTGATTTGTTCCAAGTAAAGTAATTCGAATACGTAAAATACATAAATATAATGTCAAATACTTTCCTAGCATTTAAAGTAGCTAAAGAAGTAATTAAAAAACTTGACAAATGATTGAAATACTCAATAGTAATAAGCAGATCAAATTATTTTAATTTTTTTTTTGAAAATTCAAATCAATCAAACAAATTTTTCTCCAAGAGGAGTAGTCAGAAATTTCTTACGAGTGGCCACTAGTATAGTCTTGGGAGCGATAGCTTTTTTTTGATGTATTGACAAAAATACAATGCATAATTTTGAGTCAGCACCTGAATCCACTGCAGAAATAAACGTTTTTTTTTCGGTTTCAATAGTACGAATATTTGTAGACGTTTCATTTTCTTAGAGCAGGGTAGTTTTGCTTAAATTCAGGGCGTTCAACTTTTCTGCATTTGGAGTGATTTCAGCCTTATTCATCAGTACCTTCGTTATTCTAGTTGTCATATGCGAAAGACAAAGGCATTATCGATCTATTTTTGACACTCCCTATGAGGCCGCAAAGCCAGATAAGCATGTCATTGACCCATATGGACCTGAAAGACCAGAAAGAAACGCGGTGCTGTTAGAGTGAGTTTTGAAGAAATTGAGACTGAAGAGTAAAGGATCGATGACGCTTTAGGAGTGATCCCTCATTGTTTACGTATTCTGAAGACATGCAGATATCTCAATGAACGATTAACTATACAGGGTGGGACCTCGGTTGGCCGCGTGGGTCAGAGTGTCGTGCTACTGATCAGAAGGCCGGCCGGGCCGCGAGTTCGAATCTCGCCTTCGCCATGGATGTTGTGACGTCGTGTGATTGTCCATAATTAGAAATGTGAATATAACAACCTAGTTTCTGGCTGCATGGCTTGGTCCTAAAGCAAAAAAAAAACTATACAGGGTGTTTCAGTTGATTGTTGCATAACTTTAAGATTCGATAGAACTTTCAAAATTAATGCACAAAGTACATATATGTATGTATATATAAACATGGGTCGAAAAATGCGTGGCTTCCGAAATACAGGGTGTTTAAATTTACTTTTTAAAATAGTTTTTTTTAAATATGTCGAACAATATTTGATGTATAATAGTGAAAATTGGTACACAAGGGTTTTTTGGTACACAAGGGTTTTTTGGTACGACAAAACGAACCGTGGGCATAGTTTTACTGTAGCCGCTAGAGGGCGCTCTCTACTGTACCTGTAGTGTATTAAAATGACCGAAAAAATTTTCTTAGTGCAATTGTTTGCTTTTTGAATAAAAAAACTAATTCTTCGCACTTTTCAACATAAAAAAGCTCTCATGTGAATTTTCGTTATTTTTAAGGTTCGATGCATTTTTAATTATTTATGATAAAATAACGTTAAAAAGTCAGTATCTCGATAATTTTTAGAAGTAGGCTGTGCCTGCAAATATTTTTGAAATTGAAAGCAGAATAATGTTAAACGTCAATTAGTTAACATTTAGTTTTGTTGTCTGTTGAAACCTGAAACGTTTTTTTGCAATTGTGAATGCACGAAATTTAGTTTCTTTTACCTGATTTTTATAAAAATGCCATTTTTATTCTCCAATCAAGAGTACAGCCAAGTAGTCGAGAGCGCCAAAATAATCTCAAGCAGAGTAGACGACATGGCAAGGGGTATGTATCCACGATTAGACCCTCGTCTTGTGGAAGCTAGGGCGGCAGCTTTAACTTTGGCAGTGACACTTCTAGCACTTAGCAAGTATAGTTGTAGTCACCGTTCTTGGAGGGTCAATGTAAGACTACCAGTATCCCTTTATATATCTCCATCTCCCTCATACATACACAAGAAACATACCCCTGCGAGTGGACGTTTGTTCGGTAAGCTCAAAGACGTTTTTTAGTTGTGTCTCCGTCTCGGAAACATTGTCATATTTGTCAGAGTGACAACTTACTTGACGTCGGCGCGCAATTTGAATTGTCCTGTTATCAATCTTCAATATAAAATTCTACAATTCCCGGAAATACGATCAATGGAGAAGGTCGAAATCTCGTGCTAAATTGATTAGAGATTTTTAGGAAGAGAATGAAAACAGCGGTCCCCAGTTACCTACTTCATGCGTACTGGAGAGAGTAACAAATCAGAAAATAAGAAAGGTTTACACATAGTTACACCTGGGGAAACTCACAAAATTAAAAAAGTGCAAGACCGATGATGTAAGTAATGTCGTCAAAATAGAAATTAGGAATACTTTCTATGATATGAGAAGTAAAGGACAACATATCACGACCTCTGTGCTCAATCAGAAGATCAAAAACGGTACATCTACAACGCCTCGGATAACGGATGACGGATGACGGATAACGGATAACGGATGACCGATAACGGATAACGGATGACGGATGACGGATGACGGTATTTTTAATTCTTGGGCGCCTTGCTCCTCTGCGCAATGCTTACATTATTGAAAGCTTGCGGTTTTTCCTACAAGACAGAAGATAACCGCCGACTCTTGTGTGAAAAATCAGACATTGTTCCGTATCTATTTCATGAGACATTATATGAATAACCCGAATAGTACAAGTCCTCTACAATGTGTTTTCTTAGATGATACGTGGATATTTTCCAAAAGCTCGTTTAAACGAGTTTGGCAAAATAAAAACGTAAAGAGTTTGAAAAGCGGCCATCAGGGTACCGTCAAGCGGAGAGATACTGCATTGTTAATTGCCGCAAAATCGAAAAGTTCTGACTACCACGATTCCATGGACAAATATTCTTTCAAAAAATGGGTATGTGAGAAGCTGATGCCAGCGTTACAAGGGCCATCTTTAGTAATCATGGATAGTGTCTCTTGTCATAGTGCTTTAACAGAAAAAATTCCCAGTTCCAGTTGGAGTAAAATGCAATTGAAGCAATGGCTGCAAGAAAGATACATTTTGATGCTAACACTTTTAAACTCGAG